AATACAGACATGCTGTGACGAACTTATTGCCCTCTTAGTTATCTTCTCAGTATATATATCGTAGTTTATCACTTCTCCTTAACAAATAAAAAGACTTATCACGGTTTTTATATGGACACATTACACATTGATATTTTTCCATTTGCTAAAAAAATGTGATGAACCAAATATATTGAAACGGACAGTTAAGGAGACACACAAGTCTCAGATTTCAAACTCGTAATTTATTTGACGAGGAACTTTCATTATTGGCATGTCATTTTACAAATTCAAATACTTGAAAGAATTTACAAATTCAGACCAAAACAACTCATCCAATTGATGTAGGACAACTAGTTTTGGAGTTTGAAGAAGTGCTGGACAGAAAATTGACAAAAGAAGATCGTGCCAGGGGCAATTTTGTCATTTGTTGCGACGGTGTCAGAATGGACTGAAATTGGCTAGTTGATTGGAAACGGCCCGAAAAATGGACTCGGGGCGTAGAGATATCGGGATTTTAGAGTTTCATGTAATGCCTATTTAAAGGCTTTTTGAATGTTTCCGGATCATTATTGATTGTATACAAGTTTTGTTTTGGAGAATTCCAATTTTCTTATTTTCAAGATTTACGCTGGTAGATCCTTTACTTCTGTTCTGCGTCACCAATCCATCTTTGGTTGATTATTTTGAGATAGCTACTTGGGTTGGCAGTAAGATCCATATTAAGAACACAATCGCATTCTTGTATCTTTCGATTCTGTCCATCAAACATACTTGTTTAATTGCAAAACTATCGAGGTTTCAACTAAATGTCTGATCCAGAATTAGTTGAAAATATTACTTGCGATTAAAAAATGTCAATTAGAACCCATCTTACCTATAAAATTACTCGAGTAGACCCACAAGGAATTAAAATATTTATCCCATGTTTGGGCCAACTAGTCAATATACTCGTGGTTTGGCACCAAGTGCAAGTACATTTTCAAGCAGATCTCTTATGAAGCCAGTTAAGGTTTATATCTTCTTTTACCACAACAATTTCCAACTTATCCAAATAATCCTTGTAGAAATTCCATAAATAGGCTGTTTCATCGTCACATATCACACATTCTAACTGCACAAGATCCATTACTGAAGGCGGCAACTCAGATATAGCAGTGCAACCCATCATGCGTATTTTTTGCAGCCCACATAAGTCGCCTAGCCACTCTGGCAAGTGGTCCATTTCCACACAATCCGACAGATCAAGGAACCTCATTTCCTGGAGTCCAGAAATTGATTCAGGCAACTCTACTAGTTGTGTACAAGATTGAAGCCTCAGCACCTCTAAATTTGTCAGATTTCCCAGTTCTAATAGAAGAGTAACCAACTCTTGACAGTATCTCAAGTTGATCTTCTTAAGATGGATAAGGCCACAAACCCATGCTGGTATTTCAACTAAGTCGTCACAATACTCGATATTTATCTCGTTGAGATTTGGCCATGTATTGGAGATTGAAGTTGTGCATTCCTCGAATGCCTTCCCAATCTCACACATGATCATGGATATTTTCTGCAAATTTTTTAGCTGCAGTATGGAAGTAGCAATAGAGGGGATGGAAACATTCTCCAACCTAAGTCTCTTTAGATTGTTTAACTGACTAGGCAGTGGAAAGTTTTCTAGGTATGCTCGGGTGAAACCATAATT